GGGCTTTGGGCACTGTTCTGTCTGAAGGCAGAGGCAGTGACAGAGCGGGGAGGAGGAAAGAGCAGCTGAGAGCTGGGAGCCGGCCTGGCTGGCACACGTAGGCCTTGTGTTCTCCCATTGAACATAACGTCAATATCGGACAAGCCACTCTGCGGCCATGACAGGTCAAGACCAAAACAAGACCATTCGTGATCATGTCTGAACACAGGCAAAACCGTGAACAATGTCCAAACCACAAAAAGACCAAACAACCTCTCTCCTGAGTGACTGCTGCTTCTGTGGCAATCACAGCTTTAGCCTCCCTCTAGGTTACCCCTCTCTAGGTAAGAATCACCAAGATGCCAATCATAGAATCATCCCACTTCCTGACAGCATGCTTCCCTGAATCTTTCCAAACCACCGAACACAGCCCACATTCTATACCAGTCTCTCTGACACTCTCCAACTAAGATGCCCACCGTCCCCCAATGTGTGCGTTCCCCCCCTGCTGCAACAGTTGATAAATGCAACTTGTTCAACTACAGGGATGTTCCAAGAGGGGTCACTGGCTGGAGGGTGTTGACAAAGGCATTCACACATTGTGCTCCCAGGATGACAAGTCCCTCACGGCCCTTTGCAACACTGAGCCACCCCTGCCCCACCACCAAAGAGGACAGGCAGCCAGATGTTCTGCAAAGACACAGTGTGCCAAAGGCCCATCCATCTGGGTCTCCCTGGATCTCTCCCCAGGAGTTTAGGGAAGGCTGGAGACAGCTCATTTTGATCAGCATCTAGAAGAGTGCCTGGCACATAGTAGATGTTCAATAAAATATGTGGAGTGAAGGAATGAATCATAACCACTCAAACAACAAGGTTTCTCCAAGCCCTTGAATGTCTAAGCAGCTTTAAGACCTTTCATGAGAATTTCTGAAGAGTAAGTAGCGATGCTGGTCCTTGCAAACATTTTCGTAGCGTTCGGTGGTGCCCTGGAGACTCCGTTTGTCCCTCCGGACAACCCCCATCCTGCTCTGTATCCCAGATTATGACCTATGACCTGTGTTAGCCAGGTTCCCTTGCCCTCTGGCTTCTGGTTGGGTTCCACCAGTGAGAGTCACCAGAAGATCAGAGGGCAGGAGAGGTCTCCTTCACTCCCTTCCGAGGGACACAGTGGACGGCCTGCCTCCCTTTACCTAAAGCAACTCGTTGGACAGCCTCTCCAGCTCTCTGGGTCCCAGTACCAACTCCCACCTCCTGCCCCTTCAGCCTGGGGTGGATCCCCACTGATGCTGCCCCTAGGGTGTTAGACCATCCAAACCCCGCCCACACCTCTGTAAATAACCTTTTCATTACACTTTCTTCAGTGACCTATTTCTTCCCCTTCTTTCCTGCTGAGAGAAATCTAACAGGTGGCTCAGAAGATCCTCACTTGTCCCAACTTCAACCTGCTGAGTGGCCTCAGAGGCTCAGTGAGGACCTGGGGATGCAGGTGTGTGGCTGCTTGTGTGTGGGTGCAGGGCAATCAGGGGGAGAAGACCCCTTGGGTCCCACAATTCAGCAGGCTCTGTCACCAGCCAGGAGGACCCAATATTTGGTGAGCAGAAAGCAGGGAGTCAGAACTGAGACTTCCTCCGGAATCTAGGATTGCAGCAGCTGTGTTTCAGCCCCAAATCAGGGGACAGCGTGGAAGGGGACATGCGGGGACCAATGCAGGAAAACGTTCAAAATGGCACCTCTCCTGGGCAACCTGGGCACCGGGCTGCTCCCTCACCTGTGGTGGCCAGCAGGTGCTGGGGGCTGCTGGGGACCCCTTTCTTCACGTTGTGCAGGGTGACTATGTACTTGGTCCCAGGCAGCAAACCAAGGATGTCGTAGCTGTTTTGCTCCTTGGGCACCTGTATCTGCTTCCGGGAGGGCTCCCTGCCCAGGGGGTGGTAGCTGAGGAGGTAGTGGTCCACCTCACTGGAGGGCTCCCAGCTCACCAGCAGGGACTCCTCTGTGCTCTTGAGCAGCTGCAGGCCCTGGGGGGCGACCACTGTGTGGGGAGCAGGAACAGGATGGAGAAAGTGAGGAAAGAGGGGTAGAACACAGTTAGTTCTGGTTGCGCACCTACTATACACTACCATTAACAGGTGTGGGTGTGGAAGATACATCTGATGGACCTCTGACACACACACACACACACACACACACACACACACACACACACACACCACCTAAGACATGTCGTAGCTGTTTTGCTCCTTGGGCACCTGTATCTGCTTCCGGGAGGGCTCCCTGCCCAGGGGGTGGTAGCTGAGGAGGTAGTGGTCCACCTCACTGGAGGGCTCCCAGCTCACCAGCAGGGACTCCTCTGTGCTCTTGAGCAGCTGCAGGCCCTGGGGGGCGACCACTGTGTGGGGAGCAGGAACAGGATGGAGAAGGTGAGGAAAGAGGGGTAGAACACAGTTAGTACTGGTTGCACACCTACTATACACTATCATTAACAGGTGTGGGTGTGAAAGATACATAAATTCTCAGGCCCAGCTGGTGTGGCTCAGTGGTTGAGCGTCTACCTATGAACCAGGAGGTCTCTGTTAGATTCCAGGTCAAGAGCACATGCCTGGGTTGTGGGCTCCATCCCCAGTAGGGGGCGTGCAGAGGCAGCTGATCAATGATTCTCTCTTATCATTGATGTGTCTCTCCTCCCTTCCTCTCTTAAATTAATAAAAAAATACTTTTTTTTAAAAATGCAAATTCTCAGACCCAGCCACCTGCACTTGAACAAGCCCTCCAGGCGAATCTGAGGTGGGCTAGAGGCCGAGCCCCTGCAGAGGAGAAAGAGATCAACCCAAGGACTTGTATGTATGCACATAAGCATAACCAATGGACACAAGACACTGGTGCAGGCGGGGAGGGCATGTGCTGGGCAGTAGGGGAGGCCGGGAGAAGGTCAATGGGAGAAAAAAGGAGACATATGTACTACTATTTGTAATACTTTCAACAATAAAAGAAAAAAAAAAAGAAAAGAAGCAGAGGGTTCATTATTCAGGAAGATCCTGGATTTTTGTTTGTTGTTTGTTAATCTTCACCCAAGGATATTTTTCCCATTGATTTTTAGAGAGAGTGGAAGGGAGAGGGGGAGGAAGGGAAGGAGGGAGGGAGGGAGGGAGAGAGAGAGAGAGAGAGAGAGAGAGAGAGAGAGAGAAATGGATGT